GAAGTTTTGAAGTCCATTAGAAGTTGGATTCAGGATAAAGTAAAATTTTGTCTGCCCAGCGCCGACTCGTCGAGTGCATATAACCTACTCGACGAGTCATAGTTCATTTTCATGATTTCAGCAATTTCGCGTAGTTACTCGGCGAGTCGTTCTTTGACTCGACGAGTCCTATATTTATCCATCACAAGGGCTGCTAACTTAATGCTAGTGGCTACACTACTTGACTATTGATTCTTTGCAATCAATTCCTGAAGATTTTATAGTATTTTTCCTGCACATTTGAAGCTACCCACATGTGATTTGATGTCCGAGACATGGATGCGCTGTTTCCATGGCTAAAGTTGATTGAAGTAGATGCTTAATTGAAGAAAACCACCTTCGTAACTGCTATCCCAGGGGATTTTGCTCCAATTCTCTCTATATTTCATTTTTTTCATGCATAATATGCAATGGGGACATTGCATAAATTAAGTGTGGGGTAGGGGGTTGGTTACATCTTAGTAAATTTAGAATCCTAATATCCTAATTTAGGTATGTTTTAAAAAAAATTGCACTCTTACATACCGAAAATGTTACTTAGGACTTAATTTAGAAATTTTGGTAAAAAGTAATTAGGATTCCATGTTAGAATTATGTTGATGATTGCATGAAAACCCAAATGTTTAGTTGAGCCTATATATGTTCTAGTGCATTTGTGGCTTCCTTATTCCAGTGAAATCATGGGACAAAAACACGACCTCACTTAGTTTGAAGGATGCAATATGTTTAGCATCGTGTACCAGAAATGTATCCAAGAAAATTGTTATCGCTAACCAATAAAGGTTGAAGTTGAGCGCCCCTACTTAACCATGTAGGGTTTTGAGTGAAAAAAAGTGAGTTACATGTAAAAAAAGATAATTACAAGAAAAGTTTGAAGAATTTTTGGAGCATCAAAGTTAAAGTATGAAGTTCAAAGATCAAAAATTCTGAAGAAATTCAAAAGTTGAAAATACCCGAAAATTAAAGATCAAATGTCAAAGAAGTGAAGAATTCCAAAGAGCTCCATAGTGTTATCATAAATTGTAATTATCTAGATTATGTATGCTTGGGTTGCTCAACCAAAAATACCTTGAGGTTACGATGTTTTCTGGGGATGGATTCGGAGGGATGCATAAAATGAGCATTGTTCAGAAAAAGTGGGCGAATGTTTATGAGGATTGTGAGTATTTGGAGTATAGGGGGTTATTAGGAAAATTTTAGACATAAATGCATGCATTGCGGTCTTGGCATAATGGCTGGGTTCGATTGGAGTTGTCTTATATGATTCTAATGTATTAAAATTCAGTTTTGCTTGGGGACAAGCAAAAGTCAAGTGTGGGGTATTTTGATATTTGCATATTTAGTCTTATATTAAGTATAGATTTTTATCATTTATTAACTAATTTATTGCATATCATGGACAAAAGATACTTAAAAGTGTTTGAATTGTGTTTTCAGTCCAAAAGCAAAGCTTTGGAGCCAAAGGAAGCAGGAGAAGCGGTTGGGAGCTCGGGAGTTGAACAAGGGAGAATAAATGTTAAAAACATAAGTTACTCGGCGAGTAGGGTCAACTACTCGGCGAGCTGCGTCGAAGGATCGAGAAGATAAGGACTCTAAGACTTACCTTGAACGGGAATCAAGCGATGGACTCGGCGAGTCGGACATGGACTCGGCGAGTCGGATCGAATCTATATATATACAGCTTTCCAGATCGACATACAGAATTCTGAAACCCTTGGGGAGAAGCAAGCTACGAATCAGAGTAAGGAGAGAGTTGGAGAACGAAGATATAACCCTAAAACCAATTCCGAAGGAGATTTGAGGCAAACCTACATCATTCTTACTTTAATCTATTGTTCTTCATTATGTTTAGACTTTTAGATTGCGTTTTTATGTTGTTAATCACCTCAATCATGAGCTAAAACCTTTAAACTTTTGTTTGGGGAGACAAAGTTGATACTATGGATTGATTATTTATGGTAGGATTGATTTAATATTGGTGATTTTGTTGATTCTAGCTTGTTAAAGAACCTCATGTGTGATTGAAAACTATTTTTCTGTTATTAGGAAGTTAATTAAGCTGTATGAACATCTTTTAATTGCTACCTCATATAATTTATGTGACCACTTTGTTATATGACTAGGATTAGCGACTATAAAACTAGAATTAATGGAAAAATAGGTAAATTCATGTGTGAGCTTGTGTGATGACCATCAACAAGAGGTTAAATAAAGGACCAAATTAGTTAGCTATTACAAGTCTAAATTAACCTGAATAAATAACCTAGTGAATTAAACTAAATTAGACAATTGATCACTGTTTGAGTTAGTTTGTTCTCTAAGGATTAGTGCAGAGAACGCGAAGCTAATCACTTGAATCGGTAGCCAATACAAGAATTAATCCATTGTACTATTACCATAATATCAACCATAGGATCAATTGATTTGAACTAAGTAGAAGTCCCCTTCGTCATTGAATTTAGTTGAATCTTTGCTTTTCTAGTTCTTAGTTTAAGTAATAGTTAGTAAGTTTCTAGTCTTGTAAAACTAGAGAAAAAACCCTTTTATTATTTAAACTTAGATAAAATTAGTTCTTAGTTTTAATTTACCGTTCCCTGTATTCGATACCCTACTTATTTAGCTTTATCACAATTGACAGGTCCACTGCCTTTGTGTGTTTATTTTATAATTAAAAGTAGGTTTAAAACTAGTTCATTTCACACACATCAGGTAGAATAAAGTATAAACATGGATTTTAGGTGATTTTGGGGAAATTACTATGAAAACAATGGAATCCTTTATATGTGAGCATTTGATGAGTATATGAAGCTCATAAGCATGAGTTGATACTAGAAATATGATTTGAAGTCAAAAACATGAAAACGTGAATGATATTTAGTTAAAGTTATTGAATATTTAGCCATAAGGACAATATGAGAAACATGGAATGGAATTGAGGACTCCATTGTCAGTTTATGTACTTAAAATGAGATTAATGGTCATTTTATGTACTTTTACAACTTACATATGAGTATTCAATGAGTTAGGAACAAACTACGTAAGTTTTAGATTGTGCATTTGGAAGCTAGACAAATTAACCCTCCATTTAATTTTAAGGACCATCACGATCTTAAAGGTTTCAATGAGCTCTTAATGGGTTAAATTGAGTGTATTTGGATGATAAAAACACCTCCTAATCATGTGTGAGAACCTATACAAGTGGTGTAAAGTGAATTGGAAAGGACCTTCAAGAGTTATGAAAAGTGACATTTTGAGAAAAAAAAAAAAGGATTAAGAAAACTATGCAGCCAAGTGACCACAACCCGTGTTATTTAAGCCTAAATCAACATGACCCGTGTTCCTTTTTATGGAGTTATCACTTATTTTTCTTCTACATGTTGCATACAGGCTCAGATTTACACACGGTTTTCACCTACATTCAAAGGCTTTCATAAGGAATATGAATCAATAAATTTAGTAATGGAACCCTTGAAGGGTATTTTGGTGATTTTAATGACTTTTACCTACTTGTTATATAGGTGTTGTGCAAGAGTGTTGCTCTAAGGAAGGAACTAGAAGAAGACTAGCTAATCTACGTGTGATTGAGGTGAGTACGTGTTGGCATTTTTCTACTTTGGGGTACATGAAAAAATGATTTTTATGATAATGAAATACCAATGATTTGATATATGAAACCTTTTGAAATTAAAATTTCAAATGCTTTTGAAAACAATGTTTTGAAAGAATGCCTTGAAAGCAATAACATTTTTTAAAGTAAAATAATTTTTGGAAGAATGAATGTTTTGATATGTGAAATGTGTCTTTTCAAAGTATATCTTTATAGTAACCTATGATATTATAAATGATGGTATGAGTATTGATAATAGGGAATGTGAAAGGTAAAAAAAAGTAGAAAGAAAATAAAGAAAATGATCAAAACTACCCGGGTCATGATACTTCATAAGAGGCACTAAAGGGATCTAATGGGTGGTACATTTCCTTCGTGAAGTAGATATCATATTATGATACCTTAATGGACTGATTTGGTTCTACTCACCTTGATATCTTGGTGGATTGATTTGTTCTTTCCACATTGGCCTTAGGAATATAAAAAGATTAAATGAAATGATATGATATGTTATGAAAAGATATAATATAATATGTTATGTATGAAATGATTTTCATGTACGTAAATGCTTTGAAATGTTTTGGGTAACAAACATACGTATCTCATGAGACTTATTGTCTTACGCTATCTCTTTTTAATTTCATGTATTACACGTTGTACTTGAGGAGAAAAGATGATAGATGGAAGTTAGAAGTTAAGAGATAAAGAATAGAATGGAGCTTGTCAAGTTTGTTATTAATGTTATTGATGTAATTCATATTTGTTTGCTATGGTTGTATGATGTTTAACGGTAACACCCAAGATTTTAACTGTATATGTTTTTATGAGATCGGTTTTTGTTAAATGTAGGTTAACAGTACCATATTATCTTTTAAAAAATATTAGAGAAATTTGGGGTAGAAATCAAAACATTATTAAAAGAGAAAAGAGTAGATATACCCAACCTACCTTCATGTTTAGATGCCAACATCTTTTCCATTTTATCCATCATATCTTCTTCTCTCCCGCCTAACCAACCCCAAAAAAATCTTAATCTCAACTTTACCAAGAGATTAATAACCATTTTAGGAGCATTAAAAAATGACATATAATAAATGTCAATACTCTCTAGGACCGCTTCTAGTAAGGTGTCCTCCCACCAATTGATAAAGTTTTAACTCTCTAATTGAAAAGACTTTTTAGTAAACCTCTCTACAATGATTTTTCATTCTTTGGCTTGAGACCGATTACTCAACACACATGCAACCCATAATACATAAAAGAGATTGTGGCCACCCAAAATACATAAAAGGGATTGTAGTCGAGCCACAATAGAAGTTAATTCTTATAGATATAGTCATATGTCCATGGATTTAAATAAAAAAAATGTGTAGTTTTGTACCTACATAAGAAACATATCCCTACACTTAATGCCAATTCTCATTAGTGGTACTAAGAGAGAAAGTATACAATAACATATCTCTACACTTAATGCCAATTCTCATTCATAGCTAGGTGTACAAGAGAAACATTATAGACAATAATGTGTATCTGTACACTTAGTGCCAATTCTCTCATTCATAGCTAGTGGTACTAAGAGAAAGAATGTATACAATAATGTGTATGTTAAATTTTATTTAAATTGGAAAAGGGAAAAAAGATGATGCTCGGACGTACAATAAGTTAAAAAAACCAATACACCACTCTACAAAATACACAAATATGAGACCATTAGAAATCTAGATAACGATAGTTGAAGCCAAAATGCACGACATGACACCCATAAGAATGAGTTTCCATTTTAAACATGTCCTTTCAGTACCACTCACGTTGCCACTTGGTCGCTTAGTACTCGTTCCACTTGTCACGTTAGCAATAGCTACATAAAATTAACAAACATTGTTTGAACATTTTATATATATTCATTCCAAGAAATTACTTAAATACGTAATATTGAAACATAAATAAAATGTTATATACCACTTGGAACAGGGCTATTGGCAGGAGCACCAACAGTAGTAGAGTGGCCATATTGAAGAAAAACCTGAGCATCCGTTGAATTTGGAGCCAAATGGAGAAGTTCTACATATAATATTCAAAAGTATATAATATATAGTCAGCATCTAATTAAAAAAAAAAAACATTTTTTGTCCAATTAATCATGCATGTAATTCTTTCAGTTCTGTTAAAAGGTATATGGCTTGCAAAATGTTCGATAGAGATACATCAAATAAGACCAAAACGACATACGTACATGTGCAATAAGTATGCATCCTTTATAAATGTATGAAACAAATGATATGTGTATATATTGTATATGGACATGGACTATAAATTAACAGAAAGAGTGACACCCATACTTGAATTTGAGAACTTATGGATTCCAACTTTACCATTGGGGAAAACATGCAATTATACTATACTTTATGTACATACCCGGACATTTTGTAACATTAGCAGGAGCTTGACACACTGTAGGGAGGCCTAATGCAAGCGTGACATTTATTGTGAGGCCTAAATCCGGATCATTTCTATCTTTTATCACCACACATAAGCACTTCTTGTTAGTGTTCAACACTTTTTTCAAACCATTACAACAATCCGGTGTGGGAGATTTTGCATTGCCACCAACATATGGCAAACATGTCGCTAGTCCCACCAACTGCTCCGTGCACTCTTCCTTATCTTTGTCATCTGCACCGAGTGTCATATGAGAAATTGTCACCACACTTAAGATCACAAATATGAACGCAAATTTGACCTCGTGAACTCTTTGTAAACCCATTAGAATAACTGGATCGAGTGGGGATAAATTGAAGCAGTGTTGGTTTGTTTTAGAAGATAGAGTTGTGAGCTTAAATAGAAGTTTCTTTTGTCATGTTAAACTGAGTGGGATAAATTGAAGCACTAGGGGTTTTATTTTTGGAAGATAGAGTTGTGAGCTAAAATAGAAGTTTCTTTTGTCATGTTATCGTAAAGGCGACCTTTGAGAGTTGAGACACACATACACAAATATAATTATATTTGTGAGAGTGGAGAAGTAGGTGAGAGCGAAGATGGTGGTTATCAAGAGTTCCGTGAAATGGATGAAAGCTCGAAAGTGGACATGGAGCTTGAGTACTTCACCGACCCACTAAGGTTTGTGATAGCATGTAGGACATATTGCGAGTAGTGATGCAAGTCGTCATCATTAAAAACCAATGACGATGCATCTGTCCATCTAATTCGAATGAAAAACAGTTGTAGGTGGTAAGATTCGTCGTGCTAGGGTTGGTAATGGTAAAAAAATCAAGTAGAGATATGTAATTAATAGAAATCAAAATGATCGGCTCAAATTTAGTTGGTATATACTTATTATTTGTATAATAATGTTAAATTTGTTAAATAATTTGTATATTAAATATTACAATTAAACTTAGGTATCATAGGTTTGCAAAATATTTGTAAAATAATTGGAAGTCTTATTTTGTTTGGTTTTTGATAAATAGAATTTAAATCCAATTTTATATTAAGTTTAGTTGACAAAAAAATACAAGTTGAATAATATAAAATGACATAATTGTCATTCTTGTTTTCGTCAAATTTTTTTTTTTTTTTTTTTATAAATTATATGTATAGATATATTATATTAATTATAAAAAATAATAAATGATAGTGGTGGTAGAGTTGATGATGGTCCTTGGGTGGTGGTAATGTTAAGTGGTTGTACCAATGGACAGTGATTGTAGGTGGTTGTGATGGTGGTGGCATAGATTGATGGATTTTACATGTAATAACACAGATAAATTCTAATACATTTAAGTACATGCAATCTATTAGATCTAGTCATAATATTACTGAAGTAACATTATATTCAACAACAAGAACCCTATAACCCTAGCTAATTTCAAAATCATAAACAAGTTAGGGATTATATACATTTTGATTGTTGTAGTAAACAATCAAACAATCATTCTTGAAAAACTCTTGGAAGTTAGCACTAGAAATCTCATGCCTCTAAGGGTTCACACTCAAAGTCTAGCAATTAAGAAACTTGAAGAGAAGAAGAGAGGGGAAATTTCGGCTGGCTTTTAGCAATAATGATGGCCGGAAATTGTAGGGTGGAAGGTCATATTTATAGTTGATAGAGAAACCCTAGATAACCTTTACTTGACTAAAATAATAATATCTCAAATTAGGTAATTATGTGGTTTCGTAATTATCTTTAAAGGATATTCTAGAACCCTAGAATCACCCCAAAACCGTCTACTCTTATGGGGAAGGTTCCAGAACCCTTTTGTTCAGCTATTGAACAATTAAAGTTTAGGTCCTTGTACTATTAATTAATTCAATTAATCCTAAAATTAGTTCTAATTAATTTCTGATAAAATTTTAATTAAATAACATTATTTCTGATTAATATATTATTCTCATAATATATTGACAAATCATTTATTTCTATTTATTAATTATATAATAAATCAATAAATCATTATCTTTCTCTCTTACTCTAAAAGTCATCATATTCAATTATCAGGTTTGAGTGCAACCCAAAAAAACTTTGTTAATAATTCAAGTATATACCAATTTAGTTATTGGCTTAAATACCTAATCCAACAGTCTCCCACTTGGATAAGTCTATAACTATAATTGTCAGTATAACTTCTAAATTATCAGCAAAGGGTGCTTCCAAAAGCAACTCCAGCCTCTGATCAGACTTCAGTCCTAAGATAAGTGATCAAATATTACTTCATTCTACAAGATATCATATGGACACGAGACATGGATTAGAATCAATATCATTGTCTAAAATTTTGTTTCCTGATTTCCTGATTTGTGATGACCTCATAAGACTTACTAATTGAACACATCAATTTAGTCTTGGTTGTACCCAACACTATAAGTCAACATCAAATCACGAGGCTCCCAAAGATATTGCTTTTCCTGTTAGGAAAAAATGAACGAATAAACTTTGACTCATATGTTTGTATCCTTTACTTACTAAATCATACATGACACTACGTTTTATAACACCAAGTTACTGATGCATTTTCACAATACCAATGTACAACCGACTTGTAAATTAAACTCATATATCTCGATTTTAAGAATATAATATATTATTGTCTCAAAATTACTCGTGATAGAATCCGTGAAGTAGTTCTCTGAATGTGCGTTTATCCAATACTCAAATTTACATTTTCTACATACTCATGAATATTTTAGCAACACAATTGCTATGCCTAAACTCCTTAGACAATCTACAATCCAATTCATGACAGTCTTCACTCAATACTTACTTCCTAAAGTATGAGCGACTGTGGAGCTTCGAATAATTAAATTATTCAGGAAGTAGAACATGCAAATTGAAACATAAGAATAAATAATTGACAATGGCAGTAAACAAACTTATATATAATCTCTATTATTCAATAACCAAAATCAATTACATTTATTCCATTACAAGTTTCAAACTAAACATCTAACTACTAAAAAAAATATTGTCTTTCAAACCAATGCTCCTAGCATGATGACTATGTTTAACCCTAGTCAGAGCCTTTTTGAAAAGGTCTATAGGGTTCTCTTCTGAAGAAACTCGCTTTACTATGAGATGACCGTCTTCAACTCTATGTCTGATATAATGGTACTTTCTGTCCATATGTCTTGATGCTTCACTCGCTTCTATGTACTCTGATTCACAAGTAGAATCATCCACCATGTCCTGCTTGGATTTTTTCCAACTGACTGCACCTCCATTTAATAGAAACGCCCATCCAGATTTAGAACGGAGATTGTATCTATCTATTTGAAAGATGGCATCACTATACCCACTTACTCTCAACGTATAACTGCCACCAAGGACTAGAATCAGATCCTTTATCCTTCGCAGATACTTGAGAATGTTCTTCACTACTGTCCAGTGAGCTCTGCCAGGATTTCCCCGAAAGCAACTGACCATGCTTAAAGCAAAAGAAACATCAGTGCGAGTACATGTTATAGCATACATGATCAATCTTATAGCTAAAACGTATGGGCTTCGACTGATTTCTGTTATCTCTTCATCTGTACTAGGGTAACTTGGCATTACTCTCAATAGTAGCTCTCTTTTATTGGAATTTTCATAAAAAAATGTTTTAGTACCTTATACAAGTATGTACCTTGAATAAGAGAAATTAGTCTTTTCTTTCTATCCCTTAAGATTCTTATCCCAAGAATATAGGCTGCCTTTCCTAAGTTCTTCATAGCAACACACTTTCCAAGCCAAGATTTTACTTCTTGCAAAATTGGAATGTCGTTTCCTAGTATGTCATCAATATATAATACTAGAAAGGTTACTATACTCCTACCAGCCTTGACATACACACATGAATCATTAAAGAAACCAAATTATTTGAATTTCTCATGGAAGCAAAGATCACACCCACGAGATGCTTGTTTCAATCCATAAACAGGTTTCTCAAGCTTACACACTCTATTAGGAAACCTTGCATCTACAAAACCCCCTGGCTACTCATGTAAACATATTTAGCCAACTTCCCATTAAGGAAAACGGTTTTTACATCCATTTATCATATCTCATAGTCATGAAAGGTAGCTATGTCAAGCATTATCCTGATAGACTTTATCTTGGTCATTGATGAGAATGTCTCATCATAGTCAATCCCTAGGGTTTGAGTAAAACTTTTTGCAACCAATCATGCCTTGAAGGTGTGTATCTTTGCATCCATGTCGGTCTTCTTCTTTAAGATCCATTTGCAACCAACTATCTTTCGACCATGTTCTTGATAACAAAATTCCAAACTTGGTTATCATACATGGACGTGATGTCGCTATCCATTGCCTCTTTCCACTTGGCAGCTTCAGGGCCTGTCATCGCTTCCTTGTAGTTAGCTGGCCCATCTAAATTTGCCAGTGTACCATCACTGATAAACATGTCACCGTCTAATGTTATATGGAAATCATAGAACGTTTGTGGCATTATAACTCTACTAGATCGATGAAGAGGTAACGAATTGTCAATGGGTTCAAAAGGAGTCTCATCCTCTGGTTGAGAGCTAGTATCTTCTAAGGTTCCTTCATTGGTTGACTCTTGAATCTCTTCAAGGTCAGTGGTACTCCACTATCCTTTTTGCATATGATATATATATATATATATATATCTTACTCTCTCTCTCTCTCACACACACTCTCTCTCTCTCTCTCTCTCTCTCTCTTTCTTTCTCTCTCCCCTCTCTCTCTCTCTCTTGAAAGACTCCCCTTCGTGTTATGTTGAGATCCAGAATCACATCACCATTTGACATCTTTGGAAGGTAGAAAGCTTTGATCTTGATGAAACTATGTTGAGATCTTGTTTGGGCTTGGGTTTGTGTTCTTTTGGTCCCATTAGCTTGGTATTATGAGTATGGGTTACTGTAGTTCTTATAAGTTATCCTTTCAAACATTTTGGAGTGTTTAGAAGCATAAAAATGTGATCTTGGTTATTTTTCCCCTTCCATACATGAACTAGAATGTCTAAATGAGTTAAGAAGTTAGGTTTTTTTGGTTTTGAGAACTTAATAACCATACATGACCATAAAGTTGGAAACTTTATGGTTAAGGACAACATCTGAGGACTAGATCTGGAATTTGATGAAGGAGCTTAAAGCACTATGTTCTTAATAGGGGGAGGGAAGGCAGTCGCGTATGTTGGGCATACCAAATGGTACGTCGCAGGTAGAGTAGTCAACACCCCATAATTTGGTCAAAGGTCGAGTACGCCCCACGTACAGGATGAGTACACCCAATGTACTCAGCTGAGTTAACTCGATTGAGTTTTTGATTTTGACTAGAGTTTGATAAAGTTTTACTTAAGGGTATTTTGATTATAAGTTAAGTTTGGTCATGTTCCATTGAATAGGTGATCAGTAGAGCTAATAGTAAGAGAAGTGTCCTGTTCAGCGATCTTTTCATATTAAGAGGTGAGTTCTGCTCACAGTACTTGTGGTTTGAAGGCACCAATGTCTGCCCACTAGATTATCTATCCTAGTTTAGAGGATGTTATAGACCTACCTGTGACACTGTTGACTAGTTATTTTATTATCTCATTACTAGATATATGTTATTTGGTCTGTATATGTTGACATTATATGGTTGGTTGAGGAGATACTACTTTGTGTGGAAGCCAACAAACATGGGAGAAAGCAAAACATAATATGTGGGACCGAAGGGAAAGCCAGGCTTGTGTTGTGGGCTTAGGCGTAAGCCAGGCATGAGCTGTGGTTCGGGAGGCAAGCCATACTCATGTTGAGGACTCAAGGAATCTGTTGGGTTTCCAACGATATATCTAAGTGTACATGCACCCTAGGATCTATGGTTTCATGCTAGTTACATCTACCTTAGAAAACAAAACATAAAGAAGAAAAGCATACCTCTTATGTAGCCCTTGATCTCCATGCTTGAGATCTTTATCCTCCATGAAGTTGCTTGGATGAGAGGACCCAAACTAAAATCCCTCTAATGGTATCACACCCAATGACACCAAAGAGTGAAATAAAAATAACTAGGAAAATGGTCAATTTCAAAAACCCAAAGAGGGTTAGAAATTGTCCCTATGGGAGGAGGAAGAACAGGCGAAACTTCAAGCTAAGAATGAGTAAGGAAGAACGAATCTCAAAGGCCCTATTTATAGCCTTGGATTCCTTAAAGGGTTCTATCTTCAAGCCAATGTGAATGGATAACCCTAAGAACGAAATTCCCTTCATCCTAAGAGAATTCTTGTCCATCACCCTTCT